CAAAAACTGTAGCATGGGCACTTGCCAACAAACAGACCCGCCCACATGACCGTCGATCGACACTTCAGCCGAGCCAGCGACACTTGCTACATATCTGCTATATATGTTCACGTGTGCACACATGTGTTGTGACTATGTGGGACTCCATAATTAAATATTTATTGCAACTTTAAGGTACACTTCACAGGTACGATAATGGACGAGGTGGTATAAGGGTTCGTTTTGGTTCCATGGAAATGGCAAATCATTCAATTTCAGAAAACGTTGTTACATATGCAAGTTTTGGATTTCTTGTCAAATGCAACAATACTCATGAGAAGAGAAGGAAGATTTTTAAACTTCAAATTAAGTTTTAGGTGTTAGCAAATATTTGATCAACATGGACTTTTTACCATATATCGTAATGTTCTTTCATTTCAACGAAAATCAGCAAGTTGAAATATTAGAGAAATCAGTTTTTTGACAGACTTTATTTTTTACCTTTCTTATTCAGTGTCCTCGGCAATCACAAACATGCCGTTGTTGAAATAAAACTCAGTTCTCGTTTATACGAACGTACGCAATAACATTTATTACAATTGTTTGTTTTGCTCACTTCTTCACACTGATTTCAGTGATTCATTCACCACATTCATCACTGATAGTTCATTGTAACCAAACATTACATTCGTTATAGTTTTTCTCCATTCCATCACAATATTGTTCAGTGTTCCATTCATCACTGACGATTAACAACTGCAAACATTTGTAACAATTTCTATTGTTTAGCTCGATCCTTCACTCTGATATAGAGTGATCCATTCATTACTGATAGTTCATCACTGACTATTAACAACTGCAAACATTTGTAACAATTTCTATTTTTCGCTCATTCCTTTACACTGACACTCAGTGATCCTTCCATCACCGATCGTTCATCACTGACTATTAACAACTGCAAACATTTGTAACAATTTCTATTTTTCGCTCATTCCTTTACACTGACACTCAGTGATCCATCCATCACCGATCGTTCATCACTGACAATAAACCACTGCAAACATTCGTAACAATTTCTATTGTTTAGCTCGATTCTTCTCTCTGATATTGAGTGATCCATTCATCACTGATCGTTCATCACTGACTATTCACCAATGATAAAGTCCGTAACAATTTCTATTGTTTAGCTCATTCCTCCACTCTGACACTTAGTGATCCATTCATCAATGATCATTCATCACTGACTATTAACCACTAAAAAAGTATGTAACAAGTTCTGTTGTTTGCTAATTCCTCCACTCTAGCATTTAATGATCCATTCATCGCTGACCATTAACCACTGCAAACGTCGTAACAATTTCTAATTTTCTTTGCTCATTCCTTTACACTGTCCATTCATCACGATCGTTCATCACTGACTATTTACCACCGTTGAAGTTCGTAACAATTTCTATTATTTAGCTCAATACTCACACTGAAATTTAGTGATAAGTCAATAATTATAAGTTTCACCTCTGTTCTATTTTTTACGCCAGCGAATCTGTTTCCTTGGATAATCAAGCCTGAGTGTTCTCAGCTGTTGACGTTCAAAATTTATGTTTGGCAGATTCCGTGAACCAAAAGTAACCCCCATCTGTCCATGTTATTTTGTAAAACGACATAAATATTACTAAATACTATGTCACCCAGTGCGTAAAGTTAATACAAGATATGCAAGAGTTCGTTATCGGCTGTGGTCATATCTGAAGGAAAAGCCACATCTTCCTAATGATGTCCCCACACGTGTTCTTTACCTGAAACAAACACAATGAAAACAATGAGTAATTGTACACTAATTCATGTTGATTTTACTCACGTAATAGAATATATTATCAGTATTATCATTATTGGGCGTTAAGTTGCTTTTATAACGGTGAAATGTTTCAGGAAATTTATTTTGAAAGGAAGTTCCGTATTTTTAGGTCAATTTAACTGGTGTAGAAATACCCATACTGATGAATATGTGATAATTTTCACAAGAGCTTTGAGCTAAGTGTATATTGCATAACTATGGGATAAAGAAATATATGCAACATGCAAACTGAAGAGCGTAAATTGAAAAATTAAGCAATGAAAACACAGACTGAGTCAACATCGAATATAACTCGTTAACCTCGAAGTATTTTATTTGCTGGAATTTTTTGCATTTTCGTGAATTACGTTTGTCCTCAGTTTAATAATTTCACTGTTCACCCGACACATAAACCTTTTGTGTTTTGAATTTGAGGCTGTTTAACATTAGATTAGATACCTGTTTTTGTGTCTGGAAACGCGTTACCTGTAACCATTCCTGTGTATTGATGCATAGTCTTTCGATAGATCAATGTTTTCCTTTGTAAGGTTGTGTGTGAAAATGCATTTCAGGTTTTGGAAGTAACGAATGGTAACAAGCAGGTTTTAGGGTTATGTTAACATATTCCATATATACAAAATGTCTTTGAATATGAAAAGGGTCGTTATCACCTGTATTCCAAAAACCCAAAAAGATAGAACATTACTTAAAAATTGGAGGCCAATCACTTTACTTAATGCTATTTATAAAATTATCAGCTCCTGCATTGCACATAGATTAATAACTACTTTAGATGAACGTATTCACTCTAACCAAACTGGTGTCATACCGGGTAGGACTATTAGTGAAAATACAAGATTGTTATATGATATAATGTTTGAAACAAAGAAACAAAACATTCCTGGTTTGCTGATTCTGATCTTTGCAAATGAAAGGGGATGTAGACAGGGAGACCCACTATCCCCATATCTTTCCTTTTTGTGGCTGAGATTCTTGGTTGCATGATAAGAAATAATGAAAACATCAAAGGTATTGTCATCAATGATAATGAATATAAACTGGATCAATATGCCGATGATACTGAACTATTTCTTGATGGAACTGAAGAGAGTTTGTACTCTGCTATTGACACAATTAATAAGTTTTACAAAATGTCAGGCTTGAAAATTAATTTAGACAAATCAAAAGCAATCTGGATTGGATCCAAAGCTAAATCTATGGATAAAATATGTAATGATCTGAAAATTGAATGGGTAATTGGTGAATTTGATGTACTAGGTATTAAATTTACACCAGATCTTAAAGACTTATGGGTAATCAACACAAGAAAGAGACTGGAGGGAATTAATAGACTCTTAGCATCTTGGAGAAAAAGAAATTTAACACTTATTGGTAAAATAACAGTAATAAAAACTCTAGCAATCTCCAAATTGGTCCATATTTTCAATTCCTTGCCCAACCCACCAGCAGAATTTATCACGTCCCTTGACAAAATGTTTTAAATTTATTTGGAATGACAAGAATGATAAAATAAAAAGGAATGTAATTAAAAACAACTATGAAGAAGGAGGTTTGAGAATGATTGATGCAAAAACATTTATAGACGCTTTGAAATTATCTACTTTAAGACAGTATTTCAAAAGAGGTGATAAGGATAATCCATGCAATATACCTTTTAAAGACATATTTAATTTTGGAGCAAATTCTGAAACTTACTTTAAGATTGAAAATCCTTTTTGGCGTGATGTGCTAAAAGCATGGCAACTATTCCACAAAAAACATTATATTGACCCAAATAACATTAATGAAATTCTATCCCAACCATTATGGTTTAATCATAATTTTAAAAATTCATTAAACTTCATAAAGAACTGGGCAGATAAAGGGATTATAAATATTAGGGATATTTGTGATGAAACTGGATTATTGTCAATAGAATCTTTAAAAGAAATATATGGTATCAAAGGCACTTTTTTAGATTATAAATATTTACTACATGTATTACCTGACTCTTGGAAAAATACTCTTAACCACTGTCATTTAATACCAGTCAGGGATTTAAATATTAACCAATGCCAGATATATCTAGTAAAAACATCTAAAGGCTGCAGGACTTTTTATGATAAACTTATTTCCAATGATATACACCCAAATATGTGTAATAAATGGCAGCTGCTATTTCCTGAAATAGACTTTGATTGGAAAAATATATTTACAGCATACAGAAAAGGATTGCAAGACACAAAACTTTTAGATTTTCAATATAGATTTCTACAAGGTGTTATTTATACAAAAAGAGAATTGCTTAAAATGAAAAAGGTTGATAGCAGTCTATGTTGTTTCTGCAATGATCTAAATGAGAGTGTTTGTCATGTGTACTGGGAATGTCAGGAGACACAAACTTTTGGAAAAACCTACAAATTTGGCTTAACAATTTATACCCTCATCCATTGCTATTATCAAAACATATGGTTTGGTTTGGTACTCTACATCATAATATATTACTAAATCACATCATCATTGCAGCAAAAAGACACATTTACGTATGCAGTATTAAAAATACGCATCCAAACATAACTCTATTTATAAAAACTTTGAAAGAAATATTCTTTGTGGAAAACCATATATGCAAAAGAAATAATAAAATAGAACATTTCAATCATAAATGGGGTCTTCTCTTCCCAGTACTTTGATGAATTTAAAATGTATCCAATTTACCTGAGGTCATATTTCTCTTTTATTGACTTATATATGTGTATTAACATGATATTGACATAGTACCTGTACATCATCCATCTGTCTGTACATCACTGTTCTACATATGACATTGTAATCCTGGGAACCAATAAAAAATAAAACGTATACCTTACCACCTATCAGCGAAATCCATAATTCACTGAAAACAAACGCGGACAGTGACAATACTGAGCACAATACCTATGACAGCTTGAACCATTAGTTTGAAGGATCGAGTACACTGTATTCCAACGTCATCTTCCTTTAATAGGTGAGTGCAGAATTAAGGCTATTTGTATAACTCTAATGGCTGGCCATGAATACTTTGCACGCTTGCAACATATTTGGAAACACTTGAAAATTGTAGTTAAAAAGGTTCGTCTCTTAAGGTAAGTTTATATGATCTTTTAAAACTCAATTAACAATAGAAAACATATGACGCATGACATATAAATTAGTGCAGTCTGTACTGACCATCCTGGTGCAATTTTTCCTCACTGTCCGTGGATTCAGCCGAGGAGTATTTTTGTCCGGATCTGGAATTGGGACTGGCTGGAGTCATCCCAGCCTTTCCGATTAGCCAGTAGGTGTGAACGTCTCCCTTGAGGAACATCTGGAGTTCCCGGTCCTCCTGGAAACATCAGAGTGAGTGAGTGCGCGAGTGTGGTTGGATGGGTGTTAGCGTGAGTGTTGTCTGTTGGTTTGTTGTTTCACTCAGCAATATGAATCCTGTCTGTAAATTATCGAGTCTGGGCCAGATTATCTAGTGATTGACATCATGAACATCAATCAAAGCAATCGGGATACGACGGCATGCGTCAACCAAGTCAGAGAGCCTGACTACCCGTTAGTAACCTTCTGTGATAAGCATGGGAAGTCAGATCTAACCTGGATCTGAGTGAGTGATGAAGATGGATGAATGAGGGAGTGAATGGGGGGTGATGAGGGGAGGATGGTGGTCAGTGAACCTGAGTGGGTGGGGTCGGATGAAAGAAGTGAATGAGGGGGGGTGGGTGAATGAGGGGTGGGTAAGTGAATGAATGGGGTGAATGAGGTGGGTGGGTGAATGAGGGGAGAATGATGAATGAGGGAGGGTGAATGAGGGGTGAATGGGGAGTGAATGAGGGGTGAATGGATGAATGAGGGATAATGAGGGTAAGTGAATGAGGGGTGGTGGGTGGGTGAGGGAGGAAATGAATGAGGGATGGTGGGTGGGTGAATGAAGGGTGAATGAGAATGGGGTGAATGGTGGGTGAATGAGTGAATGAGGGGTGAATGAGTGAAGGGTGGGTGAATGAGGTGGGAGTGAATGAGGGGTGGAATGGGTGAATGAGGGAGTGAATGAGGGGTGAATGGATGAATGAGGGAGTGAAATGAGGGGTGGGTGGAGTGAATGAGGGAGTGAATGAGGGGTGAATGGATGAATGAGGGAGGGAATGGGGTGGGGAGTGAATGAGGGTGGGGGTGAATAACGGAGTGATTGAGGGGTGGATGGGTGAATGAGGGGTTGACACGTGGCTACCACATAGTAAAGGGCACGTTCAGATTACAAATAATTATATTTTGTTTAAGGCGATATTCTTCATTTCGCGAGTGCGACGTTTCGATACAGATTCTTGTTCCGTTGTCAAGCAGGACATCGAAGAAATTGTTGTCCATATTGTGCTTCTCAACTTCTAAAATGCCACTTAAGAAGTTTTTGTAGTATACAGACCCTAGCTAGCAGGTCTTCTCGCTCCTCAACATAGAAGTCGCCAAAGGCCATCAGAGCATCTTGAGATGTTTGACTCAGGTGGATCCGGCCAGCTGGAATAATGAATACACCTTTAATGACATTCTGTTTGATCACGGTCTTGCGACCATTGTGAATTATTTGATAAAAAGCGTGAAAAAAGCGAGAATCACACCAATCACGTGAAACGAATCATGTGATCACCGTAGCGATCCATCAATATTGACATTGCTAAACAGTAAGACATTAAAATTACAAGTTTAATAAAATATGCCGCTACTCACAAATAAGCAACGTGCCATGGGTAGGCTTAATGGTGCCCAATCCGTTGGTGCAGTTGCACAAGCCCTGGGTGCCATTGTACAAAACAACCTTAGCGCTATGACTACCTTACGTTTATGTTAAGGTATGGGAGTTACGGTCACCTTAGCGCTAAGATCGCTTTGTACAACGGCACCCTGGGTTGTAGTCGTCAGACCCGTGTGCACCACCGTTGATTGAGTACTTACCGCAGACTTTAACATTTCTTTGTTACTGACTCCTTTGCTCCTTTGATAAAGCATCTTAACATAGCGAAATCAGGTGTGTTTGTCCAGCATGGTTTTCAGCAACCCCTGACATTGTCAGACTATCAATCGGTGACAAAGAATTAAAATGGGTATAGCTTCCACCACATTCTGCCAGCGCAGCGATATTTATACATCTATAATTAACCCCAAACACACTGACGGAACCTAACATAAAGTCTGACTCGCTCAATAAATTAGACACTGATGACGACATAATGTTGAACTTACGCTTCCCCAGAGCTTCCATTTTGGCGGCGACGCTGACGGTTTCGCCAAACAGACAGTACCTCGGCATCTTGGTGCCCACAACTCCAGCCACCACAGAACCTGTGGAATACACACAGGTCAACTTTATTCCGTTCACAATGTCCCCGTACCATCTGCATTGCTGTCAACTTGTCTATGTGTATCTGTTGATTTGACAGTCAAATGGACTCAGAGCTTTGCAATATATGTCGCAGTTGAGAGTTTTGTGAAATAGGACAGGCGATGCAATATCGTAAGTATTTTACCAGTCGCACTGAAAGTATTGCGTTATATAAATGAATTTATCTTGCCTCACACATAAATGTCGTTTTCTGATTGGCTGAGCGCTCTTCTATTATTTTCAATGTACGCCGCTAACAAGTCAGTAACATTTTCTATGTACCCCGCTGGGAATGCCGAACTCATTTAGTACTTCGTAGTAGTAATTCTTTATCTCGAATAACATTGAATCACGTATGATGTACGGAAATGACCGATGTTTTGCGAAAGCAAATTCGATGGAAGGGAGATAACTCTAAATTTGTTTTTATGTCTTGTCGTCTGGTACTCAATACTATGATCCGATACACGTGCTTCAAACAGTTCAAAATTACAATTAAGGTGTTCGGTAAGATAAATACGTTGTTCACTGGTCCCTGGGGGTCCATGGGTTGATGGGTAGATGTACCCTCGATGTTTCTTTATGTTACATCAGACAATGTCCCCCCTCGAGACCAGTGAACAGCTTATAATGTACCCGTGTGCAAGTTTGGTTACATGTTAAGAGCGTGAAGACACATGTTGGCAGGATGATGTTACTGTGTCAAGGTGGAGCTACATTTAACGGGATGGAGCTACATGCTCATGGGATGATTGTACATAGCGGAGCTTCAGGTTAATGGCTTTAAGTGTTAACATGATGTTTATTATTATAGGGCGGGGGCTACTATAAAAGTGGGTGGGACTAAACGTTAACGGGGCGGACTTGCATCAAAAGGTGGGGCTACATCTTATATAGGTCAAGATACAAGGTTTTTTATTTAAACATATTTACTCAAGAGAATGGATCAGGGGTGGAAATAACTTTAAAATTGCTAGTGTGCTCCGGTACAGTGGCACATGTAAAATCACTTGCCCTGATAATTTTTCCACTATACCGGCTGTTTTCTTGTTGATTTTTTAAATAAACAAAATAATTAATATTGGAAAGTCAACTTGACACCGGTAAAGTAGGATATACAAATTTGCTTGCCCGACAGAAAAAAACACTGGACTCGGGCGTCGGGCAATGGGTTATTTCCACCCCTGTGGATTGGTTACAAGTTATGCCAACTTAGTGAAACCCTCTCCTAAAGAGATTCAAGGTCAGTTACGATACGAAAACAGAATGCTGTATGTTGCTGTGTATGTTGAAGTATAACAAAAGACAAAATAACCATGTTGACATTTACACCGACCTGAATGGCAACCAATCCTCAGTTTAAATTTCGTTCCAGGAAGATGAGGAATCTCCAGGCGACTGATGTGGTGCAGGAGATCCAGGGCCATGGTGCAGATCTCGGCTGCATGACGCTGCCCGTTCCTCCTAGGGATGCCTGGAAATACGCCTTCATCTGTTATCCTGAACACCCCAGGCACACGTACCTAATGTACCTTCCACGTAAGTTTCTGGTGTCTCCCATCGTGTATTGCTGGAATATTGCTAAAAGCGGCGTAAAACCAAACTCACTCACTCACTCACTTCACTTAAGCATAACAAATCTGATACCACCATGTCATCTAAAGTGTGTACTTATATTGCCATAGCTTTAATACACAAGGGACCCGTGAAGATCCAGGTTAGAAGAGGCGACTAACGGGATCGGTTGGTCAGGCTCGCTGACTTGGTTGACACATGCCATCGTATCCCAATTGAGTAGATCGATGCTCATGATGTTGATCACAGGATTGTCTGGTCCAGACGCTATATAGCTGGAATATTGCCTAGTGCGGGGTAAATGTAAACTCACTCACTCTATACACAAGGCGTATCCTCTAACATTATTACCAACCGTTCGGTGTATACTCATTCTGATATTCATTCTGAGCTCCCTACAGTATACAGCCGAAACTGACATTGAAACCTGGAAGGTTAACAGTCACATTGCAATTCCATCCCATCGGGTACCCATTCACTGCTGGGTAAACGGATGCATATGTGTGATTTGCCTTAACTGACACAACAGAAGCTAAAAGTGCTTAATGAAACCGTCAGCATACCTGAAACCATATATACAACAGTGTGTCTAGAACAATCATGTTTACCATAAACCTGCCATCGCCATACCTGACACCACCATGTAGGCATCCCCGATGGTCTCCACCTTGTACACGTCGTACTGGGCAATCCTGTCGTCGAAGCAGGAGTAGAGACTGTTGAGCATCTGCACCACCTGTACAGGTGAGCTGCGGGCGGAGATCTGCGTGAAGCCCTGGATGTCGGAGAAGAAGATGGTGGCTTCGCTGTAGTTTTCGGCATGGAATTCCTCGTCACTTTTGAGGATGTCAGCCACGGACTTCGGCAACATCTGATACAGCAACGTGTCCGTCCGCCGTTTCTCTTTATTTAGAGCTTTTGTTCTGGAACGAAAGGAACGAAAGAGTTTCTGTCGGTGGAAGTCATGTGTTAAATCTTTCAGAACAGAAAACAGCACCAACTTTCAACATCGCTATCCCGTAAGAACCGATATTCGATGAAAAGTCGTTGGACACGTAACTTGTAATGGATTGTGTTCAGGTTCTTCTTTCGGTAAAGCCGTATCTGATTAAAATGTGGTTGCCTAGACAGAGACAAGAGATGCTTGGTTGTGTATTTGAAGTAATGCAGTTTGCAAGCACGGGAAAGATTGTACTGTCTGGTTGAGCTGATATAATTCGTTGTACGGCCTGACCACTCCTATTTCACATTAAAACGTTTCACAGATAACAATGAAACGAAAATGTCTGTAGCCAGAATGCAGTTGTCATGCTTCTGTTCCTTCATTATACTGTTCATAATGAACACTAAACAGAAGCCAAGTTGAGTTCTTGAAGGACATTAAGGACTAACGAACATGAGTCAATGATTGTTTGAATATCAACTTCTTTATTTGCTAAACACGACGTTTAAAGTGCAGGAGTAAGAATCAACTCCTAAACGTCGTGTTTAACAAATTAAGAGTGACTTTTACGCCGCACTCAGCAATATTCCAGCTATATGGCGGCAGTCTGTAAATAATCGAGTCTGGACCAGACAATCTACTGATCAGCAGCATGAGCATCGATCTACGCAATTGGGAACCGATGACATGTTTCAACCAAGTCAGTGAGCCTGACCACCCGATCCCGTTAGTCGCCTCTTACGACAAGCATGGGTTACTGAAGATCAATTCTAACCCGGATCTTCACGGGTTAACAAATTAAGAAGCTGATATCCAAAATTCGTTGACTGTAGCCATGTTGTGACTTACCTCTCCGCCAGGGTTATAGAATACTTCTGAATCTCGTTGGTCAAAGAGTACACGGCGTATATAATAACAGGACACAGTATAAAGACGCAGACAAACACGATGGAGATGGCCACCATCTTCTGAAGGTTGGTAGCCTGCCTCTCGTCCAGCATCTGGGTGATCTCATCAGCGAGCTCCTTCTGGGTCTCCAGCAGCAGGTCCATGTAGCGGGTCATGTTGCCAAACCACAGCTGCGCCATCTTTACTGATCCTCGCCCTGCCAGGTCGTTCCGTCTGATCTCTGCTCTCATTCGGCCCAGAACACCCAGCAACATTCGGTTACCCTTCAAAAACAACGCGAGAAAACATATTGGTAGCCCCTGAAAGTCATGTCAGTTAAATTTGAGAAAGAAAAGACAGAAAACATATTGATTGGTCTTGAAACAGATATAAGAGAAAACATATTGGTTTCAATTGATAGAGAAATGAGAGAAAACATATTGGATGCCCTTGAAAGAGAAATGAGAGAAAACCAGGGAGAATAGAAGACAGATTATCCATGAGAAACATATTGGATGCCATTGACGCGAAATGAGAAAACATATTGGAATGATGCCCTGAAAGAGAAATGAGAGAAAACATATTGGATGCCTTTGAGAAGAAAAGACGTAGATTATCATATTGGAAAGAAGAGAAATGAGAAAACATATTGGATGCCATTGACGAGAAATGAGAGAAAACATATTGATGATTGCCATTGAAAAAGAGAAATGAAATGAGCTTCAGAAACATATATGCCATTGAAATGAAATGAGAGAAAACCATTGAAAGAGAAATGAGAGAAAACATATTGGATGCCCTTGAAAGAGAAATGAGAGAAACATATTGAAAGAGATGCCCTTTGAAAGAGAAATGAAATGAGAAAACGTATTGAATGCCCTTGAAAGAGAAATGATGAGAAAACACATTGGATGCCATTGAAAGAGAAATGAGAGAAAAAATGTATTGGATCTTTTGAAAGAGAATGAGAGAAAGCAAATGATGGCTGCCTTTGCCTTTGAAAGAGAGAAATGAGAGAAAACCCATACTGGTTGCCTTCCTAGAGAAATGAGAAAAATGAGCAGAAAGTGCCTTGAAAAGAAAGAAAATTGACATATATAGAATAAAAGAAACAAACTTATTGGTGAACCTTGGAACATGAGGGCTTCGGCGAAGGAGGGAGTGTGAAACAAACTTAGACTTCACCCTCTGGAGGAGTTTCATAGACTCCCCCTAGACCCCGCCCTGTTGTTACAAGCTACTAATTAGTACCTCTAGCCCCTCGCCTGGCTGTTTTTAATTAACGCTACTATTAATTAGCTCGTTAGAGCAGAATCTGACTACACAACTAATAGTAACATTCTCAACTCATAACACCAGTTTATTTCTAAAAGTAACTGCTTCCAGTGAGTATCACCACTACATATATATTCAATGTACCTCAAGTTAATATCATTGGATTTTCTGCTGCAGCTCATTTCGTTGCTTGGCATAGACAACACATTACGAACATGTTCAATCTTATATCAGATATAATGTATGATGTTCTCTCAATATTCTTTCTCAGTATCATTCTTTTGTTGTTAAATTAATTTATCTGAAATGTTGTTTCTTTTGCTTTAGTATTACAAACACACGCATACATCTTCAATCGTGTCACATTGTAGATATAGACTATAGCCCTAGAACGAAGGCTCACGCTTCAGTGGCTAATGCTAATTACCTGGCTCGCATCTCTCACCTAGCCATAGTCCAATGTTGTCTTAACAATACCTTTCTGGGAAGACTCTGGCTAAGTGAGAGTGAACCAGATGACCACTGCTGCTAATAATTGACAAAACAAATTCGAAAATTCTATATTTATTTACATTTACAAATATATTAATTCAGATCTTGACACATTGTCAGATCAGTTGGTTTTACGCAACATACATTTTGTCCTCGTGGATAAATAAGGAGAACACCTCAAATGTCTTGCTTTCCTGGCCTCCGCTTTAATCCAGTTACAGGGGAGTGAGTATAGCTAACAGAACAGCCAGGCTAACAGTAACAGGGGCTAGGCGAGAATGATGCCTAGAGGTTTCTAATAAATAGTGGCTTGTAACTACAGAAATCTTTGTTGAGGACATATTGCAAACAGGGTGTCACACAAGACAAATGAGAACAACTAAGCAGACTTAGTTGACTTGTGGAAAAGGTGGCTTAACACCAAACCTCTCAAACTCCACCCAATGGACAAACATCCTAGCAACCAGTTAAGGTTAGTTAGCAGTGGAGTTAAAGCTTGGCAGGGGACGCCGTTCAGGCATACTTACGTTTATGTTTCGTTCATACAACGCATGTACCAGGTCCGAATATCGCCTTGCAGATAGGAAAGTAGCATTTGTCACGTCTTGACTCTCGGAAAACCACAAGTACACGTCACGTGACGGGAACTTGCCCGAGGCGTAGAAGATGGTTCCTAAAGCCCGCTCAAGACCCATGTACTCTTTGGCGATGATGATTTCCTGGTATGCTACCAAGCTCCGCCAGATGGAGCCTGACTGGTCCTCTGTCACAGCGTCGTATAGCCACGTGATGAAGACACGGATCAGAGTTGTGTACATCTGCAGCTCCATTGTGACGGTCTGATTCAAGGTGTCCAGCTCGTATCTGCAACAGGTGTGTGTGAATGAGTGAGTGAGAGGTTAGATGGGCGAGTGAGTGAGTGAGTGAGTGAGTGAGTGGATGGATATGTGGGTGAGTATGTTCCAAGACATTCTTTTTTCGGAGGATGTGTTCAGATTACCTGGGTCCGGACCTAAGTGGTTTTCATATACACAATTATTCAGTTATACACAGGCCAATTGTCTAAACACATTTGTGAGTGAGTTTGGGTTGACAGTGATCTATATTATAACAGCGGACGATATTACAGTCAAATCCAGATATGACGGCTTCATAAAAGCGCCAAGTGATTTGTGTTACGGGCCACTATTGTATGACAGGAGAATTGCTGTGCAGCGTCAGCCAAAAAAGCTTCCATTTCAGAATGGCTGGCGCTACCGGTAGGCCAGGACATGCTTACCCTTTTCGCGAACACCCGGTGTTATAAATGATTTTTAGTGACTCATTCAAACAGTTTTCACAGCTATTGTGTATTGTATATACCTCTCTTTGATCGGAAAGATCGGAAAGGAACACAATTGTTGTATATACCTCTCTTTGATCGGAAAGGGGCGTGGCCGAAGAGCGTCGTAGCGATTGGTTTCCGATGATAATCGCTACGACGCTCTTCGACCACGCCCCTTTCCGATCAAAGAGAGGCATATACAACAATTGTGTTCCTTAACACCAAACAGAATTTGTTCTAAGGCAAGTCAAGACTGCGTAATCCTTTTCACGGACGTTCTATATTAAACGTTTGTGTACGACAAACCTTGAACAATGACCAGCAAGAACAGGAGGTCCACCCACGGACATAGGTTCCAGGCTCAAGAAAGGGAAGAAACTCTGACAGTGTCTTTTGTGGCGCCTTATACGACCAGCACCCGTGCGATACTGAAATAAGCCCAAAGAGGACCCTACCTGTGCCTGTTGAGGTAGGAGAGAAACTTGTCCTTGGACTGGAACTCCGTCCTTGTGAGGGTTGGCCCAGTTGTCCAGAAGGTCAGTTTCTCCAAGGACCGGTCCGTCTCAGGATACCGTTGTAACAGAAGTGTCTTTGTTTTCTCTTCTATGGAGCTCAGATACAGAGCACTCATGTCGCGCTCCTCCTGCACACAGGCCATCGAACATTAACATTAGACATATGTTCAGAAATCTTAAGTTAAAGTGAGTGAGTTAATTTTCACACCGCGTTTAGCAGCATTTCAGCAATATCACGGCGGGGGACACCAGAAATAGGCTTCACACATTGTACCCATGTAGGGAATCGAACCCGGGGCTTCGGCGTGACGAGCGAACGCTTAACCACTGGGCTACCCTCCGCCCCCTTAAGTTAATGAATGTAGAAGGGTGACTATAAGCTCAGCTAGAAGGATACTTATATGTCCTTGATTTGTATGAGCTATGCTGTAGATCCTGACGAATATAACTTCCGCCACGTACTCGTTACAGTCACTTAAATCAGAGATTGTCGCTGTTAAAATAGCCCAGTCAATTGTGCGTTCGTTTAAACAATGTTGCTCACCCTGCATGGCCTCCAACCCCATGAAGATTCCTATGTTAGTCAGAAGGTTCATGTTCAAGTCAACACACACAGGGGCATGTTACACGAAACAAAATAATATCACAAATTGGAGTAACGCGTGATAAAGGTATGCATGTATGCCACGTGCTGTAATAGCGATAAAGTGAAACCTTGTGCTAGCGGACCTTGATAATTCCTTCCCACAAAGAACAAAACTATTTTTTAAAGAAAAACAATTATTCAGAACGAACATATTATTTCAGAACCAATTTTTCACAAACACGGAATCTGTTTTTAAAGACGAAATCCCTAGACACTTCACCGTCTTCATTATCTGGATTTCAGTTAATGAAGTTTATTGAGGTTACATGGGGTTTCACTTCATTTTACTGACGGACAATACTTCAGGTATGATAGCATAGTAACCTGAAGATAATGGATAACAGCGCCTAACTCCACGCTGTACAGCAGAGTTGCTCTGATCTTGGACGACTGGACGTAGTTGGTGAAGGTGGCGAAGAAGGTGTTGCCAGTCAGCCCTGTCAACACCGCTACCGGGATCATCACAATGGACACCATCTTGAACAGCTGCTTCCGCTTCCCAGAGGAAGTGATGGGGTTCCCTGGGAGAAGAGAGATTATGAGTAATTAAAGCGATACTTAATATACCCATATAGAGTAGCCTCCCTTGGGCGAACATGACCGTTGGGGCGAAAGTCAGGTATGGTACGGCCTCATTACGATGCTCGAAATGACAGTCATTATTTCCGGTCGATTTTCATACATCTGCTCTTGCAAGAAGCATGGGCAATGGGGATCTGTTTAATAATGTCGATTTTTGAAATGTCGGATGGGCAGAAAAGAATTTTGGCTCGACGGAAACCATGGCCACGTAGGAGTGAGTCTGTGAGTGCGTGTGCTGGATTTGAAGTCGCATTGAAAAATAATGTAATGCAATCATGTCGATTAAGCTTTATGTTGGAGGTAAGCCTGAAGGAATGGAGCTTTTAGACGTTCAACGCCACCACGTAAACACCCGAACACAGATCTGGTGCTGACAGACCTGGAGTGGGTGAGTGGGTGAGTGGGTGGGTGAGTGAGTGAGTGAGTGAGTGAATATGGTTTTACACCGCTTTTAGCAATATTCCAGCAATATGATGGCGGGGGATACCAGAAATGAGCTTCACACACTGTGCCGATGTAGGGAATCGAACAGGGTCTTCAGCGTGACGAGCGAACGCTTTAACCACTAGGCTACCCCACCGCCCCGACAAACCTGGAATCACAAAGATGGCGAATCTCTGATTTTTCCAATCTGACACTCTATGTAATGACTCTCTGCACAGCGGACCGCCCCACTGCCATCCCTCACCCAAATCCCCAAATGAGAGATTCAGGAAAATGTAGACTTGCTTCATATAGTGAAAAGGAGCCCCAGTTAAATGGAAGATTCAGAACCTGATGGAATCTAGCCTTGCTTCATTTAGATCTTTAGCACTGCAGAAGGGTTGGAGGGAAAGGAAAATACTGTGGTTCAGGGACTGTGGGACAGATAGTCGTTTAGTTAGGAATGCTTTGTGGAAAGGGACAAAAAAAAATAACTAAAAAAATCTGAAAAGAAATCATATCCAAACAAGTTTAGTCAACTATTTAAAACGAAAGGTAGATTTTCATTTCACAGGCTTAATGACAGCACAAGTCTTAATGACAAGCACACACACGTCACGGGCTTAATGACAAGCAGACAACACACCTTCACAAAGCTTGAATGACAAGCAGAGCACACACTTCACGGGCTTAATGACAAGCACAAGACACTTCACGGGCTTAATGACAAGCACAAGACACTTCACGGGCTTAATGACAAGCACAAGACACTTCACGGGCTTTATGACAAGCACAACACACTTCACGGGCTTAATGACAAGCACAAGACACTTCACGGGCTTAATGACAAGCACAAGACACTTCACGGGCTTAATGACAAGCACAAGACACTTCACAGGCTTAATGACAAGCACAAGACACTTCACGGGCTTAATGACAAGCACAACACACTTCACGGGCTTAATGACAAGCACAAGACACTTCACGGGCTTAATGACAAGCACAAGACACTTCACGGGCTTAATGACAAGCACAAGACACTTCACGGGCTTACGGGCTTAATGACAAGCACAAGACACTTCACACACACAAGACACAGGCTTAATGACAAGCACAACACACTTCACGGGCTTAATGACAAGCTTAATGACAAGCACACTTCACGGGCATAATGACAACGGGCTTAATGACAAGCACAAGACACTTCACGGCACAACACACTTAATGACAAGCACAAGACACTTCACGGGCTTTAATGACAAGCCACAAACACACTTCACGGGCTTAATGACAAGCACAACACACTTCACGGGCTTAATGACAAGCACAACACACTTCACGGGCTTTTAATGACAAGCAGAACACACTTCACGGGCTTAATGACAAGCACAACACACTTCACACGGGCTTAATGACAAGCACAACACACTTCACGGGCTTAATGACAAGCACAACACACTTCACGGGCTTAATGACAAGCACAACACACTTCACGGGCTTAATGACAAGCACAAGACACTTCACGGGCTTAATGACAAGCACAACACACTTCACGGGCTTAATGACAAGACAAGCACAACATAGACGACTTCTTTGAGCGGCATTTAGAGGTTGGTGTGATGAACAACGAGGAGAGTTCTAACATATGTTTAATATTTGGGATTACACTTTCTCAGAAAAGTACAGATTCTAGTACCTTTTGGGTTGAGTCCCTAAAGGGATTCGAACCCGGCTTTCGGTCGTCGGAGCCGTGCCAATTAACGCTTATCAGAAGTAACCCCAAAAGTATTAGAATCTGTACTTTACTGAGAAAGTGTAATCCCAAGTATAACATATGTTACATTTGACCACTTTCTAAATTTAAAAAAAAAATGGCATTGTGTATTTTCAGAGGAGAGTTCTTTAACTTCTTTAATATAACATGAGCGACGTTTCGTTGTTTCACTTGCTTGATAACTGTGTTAGAAGCTACACCGAAACGTCTCTCATATTATATTAAAGAAGTTGTATATCCCTAGAACTCTCCTTCTTGTTCAACATAGACAACAGTTTTAACTTCTTCTGAGCACAATGACGTGGTGTCAGCAGCTGTTGGCGTCATACCTCGACAGAAGTTCTCCCACGCGTAACGAGGCGGGTTGGTCTGCAACATGTCTCTGATGGCCAGATCCAGCTGTGACGGCGTCATGGACATCGTTGTCGACTGCATGGACGTCTGACTACGTCGTATCGGCTCTATCTGGCCCTTCTTCTTTTTGAGCAGCCACGACATCTTCAAGAGTCTGCAACACACAGCAAAATGACTTCTAATATACAGATAAACCTATTTGTCCTGTTTTGTTTGATTTGAATGTTATGTTTTTTGTTTACACTCAGTAATGTTACTACTACCCCCATCCCACCCCGACATTTATCAGAGCTTTGTTTTAGACGTTAGATTTGTAGAGTTTCTAGTGCATCTATAGCCTGCCCCTCCACAGCTTCCCTTCCCACGTCCGCCCCCTAGGTATCTGGTGTTAGAAGACATAACAGTAGACCAGTATCTCCCCTGTCAAGCTGTGTTGTTCCATGGAATCACCCCCTGATCGCTAGACCCCTTCTGCTCCATTCGTAACTACTCGCCTCTTTCCGTGACCTCGTATCTGTATAGTAAGCCACTATTGTCAAGAATCGTGGCAAACCAATCAAATCGCGCGTAGTAAAACGCATTTCGAAGCATGAAAATTGCGGCACCGTCGAACTTTAAAACTTCGCTAAACTATGCAAAGCAGAATTTAAACATAAACTTTGAGCTAAAGGATCAGCAACTTTCAACACTGAAACATCTCTACGAAGGTCCACGAGATATGGGATATTCTAGAAGTAGCCATGTTTAGAAATTCAGAGTTTTCTTTCCTTGGAAATACTATCAGACTATTTCATCTCCGTGGCCACGAGTCGTGAACGTGACCATGAGAGTGGTACGAGTCGCCATCCGGCTTGCCAGAATGACACGAGTAGTTACGAATGCTTCTGCTCCTACTGAACTCTGAACAAAGGAACTTACAGAGGTGACATTGAGGGAGGTGTATGAGGTGTGATCATCAAGTGTCCCACTTGGGTGCAGCTAGACACATTATGGACGGAATATACCGATGAACTATTAGAGATGGAGGGATCAAGGTTAAAATACCCTGAAATATCCTATGATAATTAACTTTGTTTTTTTATGCTTAAAAAAACTCAAATGAGCAGAGGGGCTATCCATAAAGAATAGAACAGCCTAATAATGGATGGGGATGGGAGAGTTACAGTACCTAGCCAACAAGTTGAGGGGCCGCAAAGGAGGAGTCAATTGCGAGCGTTTCCATCCTGATAGCATTTTAATAACTTTTGAATTTTTCTGTCCAATGAAATTTTCAAGCGTGCGCTTTGTTTTGCCTGGCAATTTATAACGCAAGTAAATAATCAAGTCTGGACAAGACAATCATGTGATTGATGTCATGAACATCAATATACGTTGTTGGGATATGCTGACATGAATTAATCATGTAAGTGAGCTTGACCACCCAACCCCGTTCCATGAGTTGCTGAGGAACATTTCTAAACCGATCTTCTCAGATTAATTCTTATGCAGGCATATTTCATGTTAAGTATGAAGCAGTCATCATGCGCATTTTGCATTGTGATGCTAGCAGTTGACAATACTTCTTTCCGGAGGAAATATGAAAATAGAAATGCTTCTGTTTCCTGTTCGATAAACTGTAAGGATATGGATTAGATATAGGATTAATGTATTAATATTATTCCCTGCCACGTGACCTAATTTGCATATGTATCGGTTCGCAAAATCAAGTGTTTTGGATTGGTTTATTTCAAATGTACACACTATCCATTACACACGCACACACACACGCACGCACACACGCGCGCGCGAACGCACACATATGTACATAACGTCAGTATGAGGCAATTTCTTTCCTATAGATGTGACATATAAATTTGAATTACATTGAGTAATGATTTGGAGGTAACAGATGCTTTATTTAGGATTACGCTTTATGATACATTTGACCACTTTCGACCATTGTGTATTCATGATTTGAAAGTGTTTAAAATGTTTCTTTTTCATTTTGGTTTACTTTGGGCTACCATTATGCAATCTTTTTGAATACAGAATCATGGAGATGTTCTGACATAAGGGAGATGTTCTGACTTCTGGAGGTAACGCTTCTAGAAATGCAAACAGAGAACAGAGCATCTGCTCTCAGTCAAATATGTTAAATGTTTAACGTCCAAGCTGACATTTGTTGAACAAACATGGAAATAAAAGCGACAAAACGCTCTCCACATCCCTAAGAAATCTGTTGTGGAAACAGAGTCGATTTTGACAATATCAGCATGTTTTATGAATCAGTATCATAATTGTAACACTCTAAGGTAGTAGAATGTAACGACTCTAATGTAGACCGTTACTAGTCCATTGTCTTGTCTTAAAAGCAGTTCGTGAAATTTGATACACTCAAAGTCAAAAGTAACTGCTACTTGCAAGGATCGCAGAAACATGATGATATTTAACAATATGATGATATTAATAATAGGATATGCGTTCAGGTATATCAAATATACACTCTTAAAAAAAGAAACGCTCAGGCGTTCATTTCGACATATTTTGACAGCAATCGTCAAAAAGACAATTCCTATATTTGAATCCCGTTAATCATGTCGTTCAAATTTACGACGCAAACGTAAAATGGCAAGATTTACTACTGACCGAAATAGCGCCATTGGACGTTTGGAAGCAGGGGAGTCCCAGTCTGCCGTTGCAAGACACTTCAGCGTCCACCACAGCACCATATCTCGATTATGGCATCGATATACCCGCTTCAAGTCAACCCAAGATCGTCCCAAGAGTGACCACTCCTGCTCAGGACGGATTCATCCGGGTGTTTCACCAACGTCATCGATTTGTTACAGCAACGGACACTGCAGGGCAGGTCCCTAGTCTTCGAGGAATTTCCGATCAAACCACCAGAAATCGTCTGAGAGAAGTTGGAAATTCGAGCATATCGACCAAAAGTTGGACCTGTCCCGACACGACTACACCGACAACGACGTGTCCAATGATTCAACAGGGTACAGGAATAGAACCTGGGGAACTGTCGACGCGTCTGGTTCAGCGACGACGGTTTCCTCCTGCAACGACGGGATTGAAGACAACGTGTCTATCGACGTCGACACGAACGTTTTGCGCCGAACTGTTCGACAGGTGGACAGATTTGGTGGTGTAAGCGTCATGGTGTGGGGAGCCATGTCCTACATGGGTAGATCAGAGCTAGTGGTGGTTCAAGGCAGTCTTACAGCAAATCGCTATAACAACCAAATCCTGCGATCTCTGATGTCTGTCTTCCACATGCACTAGGCTGTTGTATTTGGGCGTTTGAATCAAACATGGAGCTGGTGTGTTTCAGCACCCTTGTTTTTCGCTGTTTTTTTACAATGTTTCATTTCACTCAAACTTAACGAATATTCAATCAGTTGCTTCACTGCATGTTCCAACATGTCGTTTAAAGTGCCCATTAAGCACACACAAAGTTGCATTTACCTTAGAGTGTAAATGACTTTACCACGTTTCAGTTTATATATGACTGTCAAATTTTAGGGTGTTCCGATATTTCTTGTTTCTAGTATATTTCAATCTGATGTCCAGGCACAAATGGGTCTTAAACTATTTGACTATTGCTTGTTCGTTAACGTTTGAAATAGAAATTGTAAATGTGTTTAGATTTGTAGAGATCAAAAACAGTTCAAACTGTTATGCTTATCGTCAGGTCAATAAAACACAGGACATTGTTAATTTAAAAGAAAAGGATAGCAGTTTTGTTTTCAATAATAAATATCAACCTTACATTGGAAACGTATATTTCTTTACAGGTTTACATAAGTGTATGAAAATCGCGGCGAAACAAAAGACAGAATATGATTAAGACACTGTTATAACTTACCCGTTATCCGTTCAGCAAAAGTTATCCGTGCAGCGAAAGTTATCCGTGGAGAGCCCACTGCAAGTCTCACAGGCAAATGATCCGTTGTCATGTGGCCTAATAGCAACTTATCAGATGTACGTACCGCTGTCACGATCGGATTAAACACATAATGTCGTAGCGAAAAATCTCCTTAATAAGCAATGGGTTGATTGATTTAACCAGATCGTGAAGCCCTTCTATCAAATCTGATACACCAGCTGAAAGACATTTTGAACATGAACGAATAACCTAAAAAGACTATTTGAATGCGACTTGCTTCGCGGAGTACACATATACAGCACGTGCTGCCAAATTATTGTTAGCTATTAAGTTATTTAGTCATGTTTAGTTTCTTATCACATTATTTTTAAAAAAGAAATTCGCTTTTAGTTTCCCATATTTATTATCTGAATTACTTTATCAATTTATTTAGAGATTAACAATATTTACTCAACCACAGTAAAAGATTCATAGTGAGTAGATTGACATCTTCTTCAGCGCAACAGGGAGTATTAATGGCCTTAAAGTGTATCTAGTTGTTGAATGCGGAAATATACTAAAACACAGAATAAAGGTTACCGCATGTCATCGTCGTATGATACTAATGTAAACTGTTTGTGGACAAGAACTCATAACTAGGCATGTTAAATAATATACTCATGCCAATAATGGTTGTCACCCCCTTCAATTTTTTTGTATTGGAGAGGGGTGTGGGGGTTTGGGGTGGGGAGGGTGTGACAACCATTATTGGCATGAGTATAGATAGAGGTTTATGACAATAGAGGATCTGCTTGTTTGTGTTTGTTTGTTGTGTTATGATAAGATGACAATTATAACGATCATTATCAAAGATGTATATCTGAAAGAATATTTGAGTAAATCTCGGCTCAAGGACGCATTATAAATGCTTAAAAGAATCTGGCAATTATTTTATTTTATTGTTGATTAAATAATGGACTGATTGTCAACGCTTACAGATCGCTTACCACTACAACTACTGAAATATGTAGAGATTTGTCCTTAAATATTTTTTTTTTTTAAAATGGCGCAAACATTGTCCCCCAAATATTGTCTATCCCCCTCTATCCTTTTGATGTTTCGTTTGATTACATGAGTTATTCAGAATAGGTAACCTCGTGTGCTTGTTTGCACAATGCATTTTCGTTAACTTTCTTCTGCACAGGGTGGACCCGGGCTAGAATTGATCTTCAGTAACCCATGCTTGTCGTAAGAGGCGACTAACGGGATCGGGTGGTCAGACTCGCTG